CCATCTTCAAGATCTTGAAGCGAGTGGCCTACAACCATCGCTTCCCCCTACACACTTCAAAAGTCTTATACTCAAATTCGTCCCCGTGCAGAGTTGCCACCGGGGCCTTGAAGCATGTGAGTCGGCGTGGGGTAACCGCAAGATCGAACAGGTTGCATTGATACATCCAAAGGAATGACGCGCAAATATCTAACCTACCGCTTGTAACTTGGATCCACTAACTGCTTCACGGTATCGTCCAGCTGCTCGTATAGACACCCTACGAACATAGAATCCAAAGGAAGCTGATGGCCGGACGCTACAAGAACAGCAAGGGTCACCAAGGAAGTCCGAAACCCGTAGTCTAGCGGACCTAGGAAGAGGAATCGGGACACCACGTACAACACAAATGCCGTGAGATGGCATTTACTGTCCCTACCCCTCACCATCACATCGCGACCGCCGTGGGATTTGAACCAGAATTCTATTGAGTGATCCAACAACATTTTTCCACGAGAGGTGGTTTGATCCTCTTGCACCTTGAACAAACTCACTACGTGGAGAAGCTCATCGCACAGTTTTCTGTAATCCATCGGGATAGACTCAACGTGCTACAGATGGTGAGTGGACAGAGCACCACCAACAGGCAATGCCAACAAAGTAGTTGCATCCTCGACTGTCATTGTGAATTCCCCGAAAGCCCCAACGAATGTGTGAGTACAACAACACCACTGTTCCAACAGGTGGCCTACATATTTCACACCTTCCCTACCAGACAAGCTTGTGTAGCAATCAATGAGCCTAAGCAAGCCAGAATCTTGCAACATTCGACAGTACATGGGGTTTTCGATAATGAATTCCGCCCATGCAGTATAGTTGTTGGGAGACTTTGAACTATTGTTCCTAGGTTCTTGACACTTATAGGATATGGATTGGTCGAACTGACCACAAAAGCACAACAATTCATTTCCCCGAATTGGATCAAATATGCCTTCTATACCTCTCGTCACCGGAACCAGAGGCCAAAATCCCTATTCCCCCATATCAGCTGAGGCGGCCTCCCTCTCCAAGAATATTTCTACCATATTGATTGCTCTAACGAAATCGATAAAAGGGCACCCAACCCCCTTCTCAGTCTTCTTCGTCTTCTGTCCCTTGGTGACCCTAACATCTTGACTATGACGCAGAGCCATGAATAGAAATCAAAGCGAGATTCAAAGGGCACTAAGAAAAAGGAACCCTGAGTACAAATCGATGGTGGAAAGAACTACTCAAATTGCTTTCCCTAATCTTATGAAGATTTTTCGACACTAACATGCATAGCAGAGCGAACGGTGCCGGTGCAGATGAACGGACGCTTGTCCAATACTCGAAGCATCGCTTAGAGTAAAAGAAATCATGTAAAATTACTCATGCACCCCTAAGAAGGCAGGACCGGCGAATACACATTAATTCAAACAACATGCCACGTCAGTAACCGTCATCGAACCGTATCAGGCATCGAATTTGTCCCACACGTGCGACTGAATCGTAATGATTTCACAAGCGCCAATCAAATGGCCCTAACCAATCACGGAGTCCTGATGGGAAAATGAATCAGACAACCTTCACAGGATTAACACTAAGTTGATAAAGTCATCACTCATGAAGGGCTCTCCCCCCTACAAGCCATTCCTCCCTCAAAGGGCTGAGCAACTGAGAGGTCTCACAGCATAATTGTAACACCACCAGCACCCATGGCAATGATGTGGTCGAACCAGGAAGCCAAATTAACCCTATGCCCAAATTAAGTACACTGGAATGCAGAGGATCTCATTGACCCTATGAATGTCACACACACACACACGATTAAACTCAACCAAAGCTTCACACAACCCTCTCTCAAAGCACAATGCAATACAAAAATGATAGCAAATTAAGTACATCGGGATGTAGAGGATCTCATTGATTTCATCCACAATGTAATTTACATATTTGCAAACAAAATACAGCATTTATCAAGCGGTCCACTCATCCCTTACCGCTTCAATATCCCAAAGTAGAGGTTCCCAAGCGTCATACGCTATAAGCTCAGTTATCTCCTCCTCGCAATCTGCCACCAATGCGACACTCATGAACACATTGTGCCTCGAGGTCCGTGAGACTCCTTGCAGCTGTGAATAGTCTTGCCTCTGCTGCCTCCATGCGACGATGCACATCCGCTAGAGATCGCCCGTAAACCAATGACGAATCACCGAGACCCACCCTCCAAAATATGTGCGCTAGTCGAATGACATGTTCCTCAACCTTCGCGACATGGAAACCAATCGCGGAGAGACTTTCACAAGTCCTCAACCACTGCACGGGGGAGGTTCATAATCTCGAACATCACCGATGAGAGCATATTCAGCGCAGGACTAACAAATGACGGAGGGCAGCTCCACTGGAGGCAGCCAACCAAACCGAACAATCGCCTACGCAAAGCTCACTATTTTCCTTGTCACTACAAAGCTGTCTCGCAGATGAACACCATGAATAGGTACCCCTTCGACAACATAATACCCCAAGGGGGCTATAACATTCTCCCTACGATACTGCCTAAGCAGCTAGTGGACCATGCCGTACTCCAGAGACAATGCTGACCCCACCGGAGACGGCGAGTTGGAACCCACAGATTCATTAATGGGCATCTGCATGCCATTTTGACTAAGAGCCACTCCCAACCACGAATGTAAAAAGAGAAGAAGAAGTGGTATATAAAAACAAGAAAGGCAGATTAAGCACTAGTAGTGATATGAAACAGGACACTCTGCACCTTTTTATAGGCGGCCTATGACCCAACAAAAGGAACTGAATAGTCGTGCCCAAACGAATCATTGCGAGAGACAAAATAGCCCGACTCACTAGTACGCCTACAAGAAGATGGAATGCCGTAACACACATAACTAGATGCAATGATACATCTAACACAGTCACTCAGCCAGCGGGAACCCGAGCGACACATGCATCACCTATCACATCGACACAAGCAAAATAATGACCACAACCGCAACTTAATCACCAAATCATCTCCAATGGAGTAGTCGAATAGCCGCACCCACAACCACAAATTTGGTTATCTTTTGGCGATTTCCTTCCTGACAACATTCAGGAGGGGAGCGGAACAAGCGATTTACACAACACTGACTGTTGCCAGAAAACAAATCACCAAAAGACAGGGGGCTAAGCCTTAGACCACAATAAGCCACCAAGCACAAACTAGGGTACACGTGATTTATACAAAATAACGTGTCAGGCAAAAAACCAGACCCAACGAAATCACTACATAATTCAAAACAAGGGCACTATGCTTATCGATAAGCTCCCTCTTACCGATAAGTAGGGGGCTAATGTTGGTGTGTACAACTCACTCAGACCCTCAAAGAGTACTCAGATATCAAGAATAACACCACAGAAACACTTACAAGCAATTTGCAGTCAATCCCCCACGCTACGATAAACCTACGGTCCATCACGACCGTTGTGATGAACCTGCAACATGCTAAGCAGAACCATGATAAGACCATAACCCACCAAGTTCAGTCAACACCCAAACCTAAACAAGCCTCAGAAAGACTTGCCTACAAGATGAGCACATTCGAGCGCGCGATGAAGTCACACTCGCAGCGGTGTACGAGAAACTCATCACCTTTGAACCCGTTCCGGGTAGCGGGTCGGGGAGGACAATGGACCAAGCCCATGGCGAGGCCCGTCTGCGCCCAAACACACACAAACCCGTTACAATGAGGTACTTTTGCAAATTGCACATGGCATTAACAGATACCGACCTTCGAACGGTGACATTATCGTCTCCACGTAGGATTAGTAGTGCGCGTGCAAAAAAGTAGTAGCACACATGAGTAATGAGGGATCTCGGGAGTAAGGAAAGCTGATCCTTGAGAGTATTTTCGTTAAACACGTGGCGATGCCCAGTAGTGTACCCAATAATTGCCAATGAACAATATATTCCCTTTCCTGAGACGGAGCGAAGATCCTCATCTCCTACCTTTTAGGATCTCGAGACTTTCTGCATAAATAGAGGGTCCTCCTCATGATAGGGATCATCGAATCCTGAGCATTTCCCATCACTAATATCCTCGAACATTTGTTGTTCTTCGAAAGAAAACTTCTTCTCTTCATTCCGATATCGGGGAAAGGAGCTTGATTGACTCTCCTTGCAGGCTTTCCCTCGTCTTTCGAAGAGACCGTTCCCCAACCTAGTCTAATATATCCTCCCTATAGGTGCACGAACCCAATTTAAGCCTTAGTGTCAAGCACATGGCCAAAATGATCACGGACAATACTAGCAACCAAACAGTTCCCATCTGCTTTGAAAAGCATCAAAATTGATTTTAATAGTGCCAGGTTTTGGAGCAATCCAATATTTTATCAATTCGGTCAACTATTGGGGGTTTATTCACCTCTAAATTCTCCATAAACATTCCAAGGGCCCAATCCAATAAAACTAGAATGGGGACAGTTCTGTTATATTCCATAAATTGAATGCTAATTTCTTCTCTTTTTATTGCCAACCCTAGTAAAAATGTGATCAGTATCTTCCTCTTCACCACAAAAACTGCAATGTTACATCCTCTTTTCGTTAATTGATTTTTCGTTGGGACTTTAAGGAAAAAGAGGAAAGACTTAATCTTTCGGGGGGGGGGGGGCATTTTATGTATGGACATTAGCTAACCATTTGAAAGGGACACTTGGATTTAGTATGGAAGAACATTTTAGAAGGTAAGTTGTTTTAATAGAAAATGTCCCCTTACACTATTAGAAAGTTTATTTTTAGAGGCTGTAGGCAGAGGTATTTGATAAAAAATGCCTCTAAAGATAGCCAATTACGTTAGTTGAAATGTGTTATTTCAGAGGGACATCATAGAAGCCTCTATATTGTATTTCATGCTCTAATAATTAAGGGCATATTTGGTATTCTATTATTTTCAAATAAAAAAAAATTATGACAATCAGCTTCGTCTTTTCTCCTCCTCACTCTCCATTCCATTGTAGCTATTCTCATTCTCCATTTATATTACAACAAAAGAACCAAAGCACTGTTTTTGGCAAGGGTTTTTGAGATTTTAGTAGATGGAAAGAACGACGGCAGCTCCGATGGCTAAGAAGAGTGGCAATAACTCCATTGAAGCAGGTTAGGGATTTTAGATTTCAATTTTCTCTTGGCTTTCATATTTTACTTTTTTCATTCTAACCTCTTCTCCTCTTCCAAATAACCCTCTTCACCTTCTCCCAGCTCTATTCCAAACTATTTAACAGATTAAAAGCTCTAATGCAGAGTAGTGTATGAGCAAAGCTATACATACCTATAGTAGATTGGAAGAATGGCAGTAGCTCTCCTAGATTAGAAGAATAGATGGTGGTATTGGTTTAGGATTCCAGGTCTCCTGGATTAAAAGAATGAATGGATGGCAAAGCTATACCTGTAGCAGAAGCTCCGTAAGTTCCTTTGATTCTCCTTCCTTCCCCTTTTGTTTAGCGTAATATTATTTCTTATCCCCATTTTTTAAGTTACAACTCATAAATTATGTTGATCTTTAACATTAGAAAATGGTTAACTTTTCATGGTTGCGAGCCTATTTTTCCACTTTAATTACTTTTTTTTTTCTGAATTTTGTCTACAATTTTCAGTTTTTTGTGCTAATATGTTTAAACATATTTGGTTTTTGCTTCTTAATTAAAGTTAGTAAATACTATCATTTTCTTGATACTATTGGTATGTCGGCTATAGAAACATTTGATTTTAGAAAAGTTCAATGTCGTGAAATAATAAAATTCCACCAAAATCAAAAATTAAAATATCTAGATGACATAGAGAATGCTAAAACTCTGCCTTAGAAAGAAGGCGGCTGATATAGAGTAGGTTAACAGAGGCAAATGGATGAAAGAACACTGTAAGCCAGAACTACTTAGTTGCTTATAAGTATAGGTATAAATTACAGTTAACCAACAATAAATATGCTGGAGAGAGAACTGCCATCAGAACCCGGGCCATTAGGGTAAAGAATATATTGTTGAGTTTTTCCATCTTCTTAGCATCTTGTGCCTAATTTGTCTTAAACTTGAAACACTGAAAGTTTGTTGAACAATCAATTCAACCCAACAATATGCCATGCTCAAAAAAAAAAAAAAAAACAAAACATCTTACAGCTAGCTATGATAGTTTAGTCTCAATTGCAGTCATCTAAAGTTATAATGGAAAATATCATGGTTGGAGTGGTTGACTGTCTATAAATACTAGATTGCATTACTCCTTTCACTTTGGATGAAATTGTGAAAGGGTGGCAGTTGGTGTCAAAATCCTCTACAACTAGATGTAGAATAACAAATAGAATAAATGTTTCACATTAACTAATTGATCCATCTTTGTTTTAAAATTTGGGTTATTGTTTTTTTACTTAAAAGGAAGCATTTCTAGTCATATATGCATACAAGGTGATGTTCCGTGCAAGTTATTTTCATGAATAACAGAGTCACCATAAATTTGCTTATTTTTTGTCCTCTGTGTGATGTAAGGATTCTATGACAAACAAGCCCTGTGATGTAAGGATTCTAAAGGCCATATTTTTGGAATTTCGCTTCAAATTATTGGGGAAATGGGCAGTTTTTGTGGGATGTGGTTTGTGGGAGTGGTTATTGTGAATGCAGTAGAAATAAAAGTTAGGCCTTCTATGTACAATCTATACTTGATTTTGAAGCAGGGGATCATTCAAAAATCTTGTCATTTCTTTTGAAAGTCATGTGTAAATTGTGTTACCAAGTCATTTACTGATTTGCAATTTAGTTATTTATAATTAACATATACTTGCATAATACTTGTCTATGGTTAAGTTATGCTTGTTATCTAGTTGTCAAATGCCTTGCCAGGCCAAAATGTTAGGCATCACCTAGCTGCCTTAACTACACTGCCATTATCTTTGTGCTTGCAAACCTGTGTAATATGTAACTACACCACCATTACTTGGATGCCATTGTCTTTGTTACTAGTTTTGTTTTATTTTATTATTGGTCTAATTTTTTGAGCTATTAATTCCCGGTTGATCAATGATCAATCAAATAGCATATGATCTAGCTTGGGGAGTGGATGAAGGGCATTGTTTATACTGGTTTATCAATGTCCTCAATTCAGTGCTCATAGGTGCTGAATTAAGTGTTGTGTGTTTTATTTCATAGTGAACTTTTGGCTTCATCCTTTCAACATTATAGGCCTTTCACATCTCTAATATTTAGGTTTTCTTGGATGCAGATGAGGCAATCCCACATAAGTTGTACTGGTCCAATAAGAAACCACTTTATCCTAATCAGATTCTCTTTTTAGCCACTTTCATTTTCTCTTCCTCAACTACATATTCCTAGGTAATATAGAAGTTGAGTTCTATATTGACATAACAAGGCACATCAAGCAAGGTAATTGTCATAGAGTTGTTTCTTGTTCATAGCCACCCATTTCCTAGTTGTGTAGATTTCCATGCCATGCAAAAGTTGCATCACAAATGAAAATTGCTTTGTTATCACTTCCAATGTTTAGCTAACTTAGGATAACAAATTAGGGTGTCTCTTTATTTTTTTTGGCATCTGAATTGTCAGATTAGTCGACCAATAGTGAAAACTAGTGGGGGATTGAGCAGGGCGTAAGAACATCTCGATTCTATTCTTTTGTATTCAAATTTTAGAATTTTCATCCACTAAATAATTGGATTAGATGCAGATTTCACCCCACCCAAAACCAAATTCTATTGTTAAATTAAGAATCATACAACATGTAATTAGATGCTTAAAGATCTTTTGTTTTTGAAAAAATATAGTTATTAATTTGACTATTTTTTTTTTTTTTGCTTTTTGTTGTATTATTTTTTTTTTGCAAGTTGTAGAAGAAAAGAATGCAGATGGTGTTGAGATGAATTATTTTTTTCTTTTCTTAGAGTAGGAAGTGAATTGTTTTTTGTTTTTTGTTTTTTATTTCATATGTTTTTTAGATGAATCGTTCTTTTATTTTGAATTTGTATCAATTAATATGAAACAATATTCAAAAACAATGGCTATCTTTTAATAGATATGTAAATGAATTATTTTAAATAGAAAATTAAATGTTTTTTATATAGGTTACACAAGTTTTATGTATGACAAAATAGTTTTTTAAAACACAAATAAATGATCCTTAGAGACAATTTGGAAGTGCTTCTAAATAAGAGCAACTAATACTTTTAGCTATAATTATAAATGCTACTATACAACCTAAATAAAATTCTTAAAACTACTTTTAGAGGCCTCTAATTTAATTAAAATGCCCCTAAAAATGTATATTTAGTGGCATTCATGCATGCTTCTAGAAAATGCTTTTAGTGTCATTGCTTTGAGGGCAAGATTATGTGTATCAATATCTCATTTTTGGAGGCATTTATCAGATGTGCCTTTAATTATAAGTCAAGTGCCTCTACAATATTTAGAGGCTAGGCATTTAAAGGCAATCACCTGAGTGCCTCTTATTCTTTTTAGAGGCATTTTTTGTTGCTTATTTAGCTGATTTTTCTAGTAGTGCCTAATGGCAGTTCTCTCCTCCTTGATACTTCGAACCTTTCTCTCTTTCCCTTGCGTTTAGATGGCAACAACAAGGGGTGGCTCAAGCTTGTACTAGGAGGAAGAGAACACTCGAAGCTCATACATGGTGGTTCTCCCCTCAAGCATTCGAATGTTCTTTCCCAAGAGGAATTACAAAAGAAGAAGAAGAAAAGGAATTCACCTCTTTCCTTTTTTGGGGAAAAATGGATTAAAATAAAATAAAATGCCAATACAAGGGAAATATGTTTATGTGGCAATGTTACTTGAGAAGAGGCTCATTTCCCCAAGTTGCTTCGATGCCTTGGGTCCCCTCCTCATCTCCTATTTATAGGGTTCAAGTAGGGGTAGTTTAGGTAGTTTAGGGGTTTATAGGGGTAAAATAGTTTAAGAAAGGTGAATTCAGGAATGTTCTAGGTAGGAGGAAAGGTAGGGGTATTTTGAGGGTTTTCATGGGTGTGTGGCCACTTCTTAGAGGGGGTTGAGTCGGCTCAGTTCACTTTGTTAAATGGAGTTATCATCTAAATTTTTAAAATTGGGAATTTAGGAAAACCTAAATTTTCAAGAAAACATTTTCTTGGTGACTCTTTTACTCAATGGGGATGAGATTCTTTGTGGGTTTAGGGACCAAGGTACAGTGTGAGAAGGTGTTAGGCACCCCACACATGCCTGGTTTAACCGGCCTTTACTTCACTAAAATTCCAAGGAAAGTTTTAATAATTCACGAGTTAAAGTAAAAAGAAATTACATACACTAAGAAAAACACAAGAATGATAGAAATATGTAACTAAAGAACCAACAATGGAAGAATTAAACTAAAATAAATACTAAATTAAGAAAAATAAAATGATCTAAGATGAACAAAGGAACCAAAACTTTTGTTGAAAGAATGGTCTAAGAACATTCAAGAAAATATTGTGCTATGTTAATGTACCAATGAATTGAATTTTGACAAACATATGAAAAGTTAAGAAAACTCATTGCTAAACTAGTGGATAAAATAAATAAACTATCCAAGAAAAGAAAAACTAACCTGTTAAGGATCATGCTTCTCCAATATGGAATTTCAAATGTATTAGTATAGAACCAAGGGGGTGCTTATCAAGACAAACTAGTAATCGATGAGAAATATAATGCTGAATGGATGTTAGTTAAAGGATTGAAAATCTAAAATGGTACTTGACTAAAGAAAAAAAGATAATAAAAATGGCCTAAAGAAGTGAACGTTAGTGTAAGGAAAATGACTAAGAGAGTGTTGAGCCTACCTAAGAAAGGAGCTATACAAAACATGGAATGATTAAATGGACCAAAAGGAACAATGTGAAAAACATGCTTCGTTGAAGTCTTATAGTAATTCACATGCAAATATCAAATAAAAGATGGATTTAAAACAATAAAAATACTATCAGTAAACTAACTAAGAGGACAACCTATTGCAAATGCCATAAAAGAAGATGAATGTTAATAGGAAACAAAAAATTGAATGATGATACTAACTAGACTGCATGCAACATCAAATCTAAAAAGTAAAGCCTAATAGCTATAAATTGGAAGATTATGACAAAAATTTTGAATGATGTTAATCTAGTGCCTAACGATCCATAAAAATAATATTGACTAGAAAGATTAATTATGATGATTAAGAATAACTACTCAAACGACCTGAAACTTTATTGAGGATAAATGATAATTAAACTAAAGTAGAAATCGTGATGATCTTATATTTTCACGAAGTTACATCATAACTGAATTAAGATGCAACTAAAAAAAGAAAGAGAAATAACCTTTCTAACAACAAAAAAAGGAAAAAGAAAAAAAATCACATATGGGTCCTAGCGTGTATTATAATGAGCATCTCCAAAAATAAATACCAAAGCCAACTAAACCTCTTTATATTATTCATAACAAATGAAATGATTGAAATTAAACAATGGAATGATTAAAGCGTATCACCACTACAAACTAGATGAATCTGGGCATAAGCTATTTGGAAATGTAGCTCTTGATTTGATAAAATTGTTGGGCGTCCCATGGTTTCTCTATTAATCAACTTTGACTTCAAGCTTGCATCTAGCCTTGGGGATTGAAGATCACATAATCAACTGAGTTGTGTATTCTCCCTAAAAGTCTCTTGTCTCAGCTCTTGGGACATAATGAAGACTCTCTAGTGGTCAGGGTGTCTCTCTCTTTAAGCTCTTGTGTGTTATTTCGGTTAGGAGAGGACCTCTATAATAAATAGTATATGCCCTTAGCTCCAATTAGATTGATGTACATAAACAATTATAAGTGAATGAATAAAGTACATTATTGTTTCACGTTCTTATCGGTATATTTTCTGTGAATTATTTCTTAAACTAGACATTTATGAAACTCGTGTTAGTTTAGAATGTTCTTACCCATTGGATAGACCTGTGGAGTTTATCCTAACAAGGTTGTCATTAATGTGTCATCGAATTGGTGGAGCACCTTGTCTTAGTTGGTAGGATTAGACCCCAAGCATAGCCAGTAGGTATTTGGAAGAAACACTGAACCCGAACCAATTTCTAGTAATGCCCTGGACCTTGGAGATAAATGAGCAAAATTGGAAAGTTACACTTAACCCCATACTTGATTATAATACTGCACTGGATATCAGACTAATATGTCTTTGATGTGCCAACCAGTGAGATCCATCAAGGGTCAATTATTTGGGCATGCTGGGGCAGTTTAGGAAATTACCTAAGTGGGTGATCATAGTGATAGGATCGACCCCTTTGTCAGACAAAGTGAATATCATGCTTTGTACTCTCTATGATGGAAACCTAAAATGTTGGTAGTGGATTTCAACTGTATTTGAAATCTGATTTGCAAAATGTATTTATATGTTATATTACTATATTGTGAAAAAAGTTCACAAAAGGTTTTAATTTGGGATCCATCTGAGTAGAGAGTGTGACACTGCATTTTGTAGACAGGGAAGGGGTCCTTCCCTGTGAGCAGTGTTCTAATGATTATGGGCCGCGAAGTTAGGTCCTTCCCTGTGAGCAGTGTTCTAATGATTATGGGCCGCGAAGTTAGGTCCTTCCCTGTGAGCAGTGTTCTAATGATTATGGGCCGCGAAGTTAGGTCCTTCCCTGTGAGCAGTGTTCTAATGATTATGGGCCGCGAAGTTAGGTCCTTCCCTGTGAGCAGTGTTCTAATGATTATGGGCCGCGAAGTTAGGTGTAAGTGATTATTACAGGGCTGATTGCCTGATGGGCTTT